TTGAGAAACAGTTCCCATAGAGATTTTGAATTGTTTTCTTTTTATTTAGAAACCGTAGATATTTTAGGCAATTTTTTTTTTAGTTAGAGAGAAAATCAATTTATTGTTGATCCCACGTCTCTATCTGGTGCTGTTGATAATGATTGGTAAAAGGGAAAGTAGTTTAAAAAGATTTGCTCGATTGTGTTTTTTGTCAAGATTTGTTTCAAAATCTTTGTAACTTTTATTGGTATACGGATTTCAGTTTGTCGTGCCCGTGGATGTAGCCCTTCTGAGGTGAACTACGGAAATCTTTATGTTGCTATGATATTTGTTTTATGCATTATTTATTATATTTTATTTACCAAAAATCAACTCATCGGATTTAAAGCTTCCGCACACAACACCTAAGATGATATGCTATTTCCTTTATGCATCTTGAAAATAATAACATAAGAGGAAATATGAATGGCATGGCAATCAGCAAAATCAAAAGTGTATCTAGAAAAGGATCAGTTTTGGTTCATCAACATGATCACTTATTAAACACATATCTCTCAAAATCGTCATCATTTTAGCTGTTTTACAATTAATTGGATCGACTACATGAATCTTGGTTCTCCATTATCTCTCAAAAATATATATTTAAAGGTGGATTTGGGACCCAAACTTTTAGAAGATAATTTTGACCATCACACTCATAACCAAGAAACTTGGATTTTGAATTATAAAATAAACTTTTAAAACTTTTTTTTAGACCCTTTGTTTAAATTTTTTGTGGATTATACTATTATTTGAGCTGCAAAATCATGGACCTAAACCTGAAATGCATCTAGAACGATCTAGGATTTCGAATCCTAAATATTCTAGTATGGATTTTTAGACAGGGTGATCAAATCAATCAATTTATAACATAATTAAAGTAATAAGATAATCTCATATAAGTACCTCTAAGGGTGTGTTTGTGGGCTGAAAGTTTGCTTGAAGATAAATAGTCTCTGGAAAAATTAGTTCTTTTTTGCTAGGAAGTGGGCTTCTTTGTTTAGGAAGCGTTAAATAAGTTTCAGTTGCGGTGTTTGATAATATACTGGAATTTTAAAGAAATTTTGAGTATTGTGTTTGATTACATGCTGAAATGTTAATATATATATATATATATTGATAATACTACTATTATAGATAGTATTATAATATCAAACTATATTGATATATATTATGTAATGTCATATAATACAAAATAATATATTATTATATATGTTTAATATATAATTACATATAATAAAGGGAAAAGTTTATACAGAGCCTAGGCTCTAAACAATCAAATTAGAGCCTACCTCAAAACTTTCACAAGAAGAGGTTGTTTTGATGCCCGAATATCATCAAATTGATCATCTCGGCACCAAGATGCATGGACATGAGAAAAAAATGAATTTTAAGTTTTGGAAATAGTGCATCTTGTAACACATTTTTCAATTGTCAATTTTTAAGATTTTCAAGTTTTCATAGATTTGATTGATATACACTATTTTTTAAGCTTTAAATTTTATAACTAATGAAAATATAATTTAAGGCTATCACAAAACTTACCAGTATTAAAACCATATTTCTTAATACTATTTCAAGGTGGGCTCAAATTTGATTGTTTAGATCCTAGGCTCTATACAAACCGCACATAATATATAATATGAATATATTTCATATTATACTAATAATTTATACTGAAATATATTATCTAATATTATACTAATAATTTATACTGAAATATATTATCTAATGTTATATAATATAGTATAATATAAAACAATATATTATTTATATGATTAATATATATATTATATATAATACAAATAACATTGATAAAATAAATATCAGGGTCTTTGACGAAAATATGTTCACAAATTTAAACGCCTCTATTCATGATTTGAAATACTGAGCAAACAATGGTATCTACATACTCCATATCACAAACCAACAAGATACTATGATGAAAGAAATACATGCTCAGGGTTTGGAAGCTAAAATAAGCCGAGATAGTTTTTTCATTTGGCTGGAATTGCTTCAACAAAATGATTGTAAATTTCCCTATTCATTATAGGTTCCATTCAAAATAAATTTTTTTAATGAAAAATATGTTTTGGGTTTGAAACTCACAACAATAAAAAATATTTACACCATTAGGCTTGGGCAACTGAAGTAGTGCAAAATTATCAAGATACCTGCTTGTTTATGATTCAAATCCAGAGAATGGGCATTTATTTTTAACAAAATAGTATGGTGGTACGAGTAAAATGATAGTTTTAAAGTAACAATATTGTTGATTAATTGATTTATTCAATAACCTCAATGATTTTTTGAGATTACTTTTCTTATGGGCTTTCTAAAGCAATTAATCACCAATCGACATTTAATATGCACAGGGAAATTTGGTATTTTATGTTCACTATTCGATAGCCTAAATCTCAAAGAGCGACACTTCTGTCATTGTGGTGACATTTTTATTCAGTGTGGAATCCGTAATAGACTGGGACATTTTGACCAATTTAAGGCACACAAAACCGATTCGTTTTTTTCTTTTTTTCTTTTTTTTTTTTTTTTTTGTGGATTAAATAAGTCGAAACATGCAAACTTTATTTATTCCTAGTTCCAAACTCAAAACAAACTTTCTTTATTAAAAATAATATATAGGGTTTGTAACAAAAAATAAGGAGTTATTACATAATTGAGATTGTATATTACGAGACCATTTATCTTTGTTGCGGATTGTATACTACGAGGCCATTTATCTTTATTGTAAGGAGGTCATAGTTGTTCCTAGTCATTAAATGTCAAATTGAGAGCATGGTTGAGATTTTATTTTTATTTTTTAACTTTGATTTTAATGATTGTTACACTCGGACCCACCTGACTTGAAATATGATATATAAGAGAGATTGTAACTTCATTGTATTGCCAGTAAATAATCTCTTTATATAATTTTTCTAAATAATTTGGATCAAGTAACTTGTGCGGCTAACGAGTAATGCGCTCAAGGTTTCAAACCAAAAACAAATACTATATAACTATTTTTTATTATTATGCGTAAGGCATCAATATTAAAATAAGGCATAAACTTTAAATAATTGAAGTGAGGACCTCCAAACCCTATCAGATGATGCAATATCGGTGCTGAAATCTCGTGCGATCTCTTGAAAGTCTATTTCTACCCTTAGTTATGCAATTTAGAGGTTAAAAACAAGTGATGGAACCTATAAATACTTTCCCAATACTTAAAAGATCATGAAAATGGATGGTGACCTCCAAGCCATTTATTTATTTATTTATTTCAAATCTATATACCTCAAGGTTAATATGATCAATTTGAGGATTTTTCAACATTTGAACCATCTTATCTTGAGAGTTTTTAAGTAAATCTTATTTTAATGTTACACGGTTGGCATATTATAAATTTTCTAATAAATGAAATTTAATTACAAAAACCTATAATGTCAATTTTTTAACATTTTATTCTTTTTCAAACTATTCCAATTGCATCTTTTGAATGGGATTTTTAAAATTAAATGAGAACAATAAAATCTTAAGTAAGTAAACTCTCATGTTATTTTGATAAATTTTTCTTTCAATAAAATAGTTGAAGTATCCAAACATAATAATTTTTTAAAATAACTAACATACTTTAGGTTAACCACCTCGTTATACTTTTCATCCATTTTTGTTATGAGGAGGTCACATATCGTTATTCACTATTAGATGAAAAATTGCATGATTGGGGAATTAATTGGGTAACAAAAATGATAATTGGGTAACAAAAATGAAAATCAAAATAATTGTGACCTCCTTATAACAAAAATTAATCATTTCTTAGGAGTGTAAAAAAACTGTAAGACACTTTTACATATGCGTTCCTTGAAGAAACTAACATATATTTTGAAGATGGATGCTGAAAGGTGGAGGTGCCACAAAAATATATAAACCAAAGGCCTAAACAAAGAAAAAAGTTAATATAGAGCCGAGGCCTTAAATAATCAAATTAGAGTCCACTTCAAAAATTTCACTAGAAGGGATTGTTTTGATGCTCCAATATCCTCATATTGATCATCTCGACATCAATATGCGTGGACATGGAAAAAAAAAAGGATTTCAAGTTTTGGAAATAGTGCATCTTGTAACGCATTTTTGGACCGTCAATTTTCAATATTTTTCAAGTTTCCATAGATTGCTCGACCTACACTATTTTTGAAGCTTCAAATTCTATAATTAAAGATAAAACTATATTTTAAAACTATCATAAAGATATTCAATATTAAAACCACATTTATCGATACTATCTTTGATTGTTTAGAGCCTCAGCTCCATACAAACTGCACTACTAAATAAATGCATAAAAAGTTATTAAAAAAGTTTATATAAGATCTTAAAATGTAAAATTAAAGATGCACCTAAAAAATCTATCGAATAAAAGTTCTTTTAGTATTGAAAGACCCTCTAAATGGTCATCTTGATATGAATATGAAAAAAAATAAAAAAAAAAAAGAAAGGTTTTAAGTTATGAAAATAGTGCATCATGCAATACATTATCTAAACCTGTCAATTTTGAAGATTTTCATATGCATAAAGGTTGACTTGATTTTTACCATCTTTTGAGTTTAAAATTCTATAATTAGATATGAAATTAAACTTTTTTATAATCCTAATAATTTTTTACATCAAAACTAGATAAAATTTGGAGATGTGCATTAATTAGATTGTTTTAAAATTACATCCTTATAGAAATCACACCCTACTTTTTATTTTTAAAAATAAAATTTTCTTTTATATTTATATTCACCATGGTATAAATTATGAGCAACTTAAATTTTTTGATCCAAAATCCATCTCCAAATTGGAGGAAGGACAAATATGGATAGATGAATCGGCCCACTCATAGCAACCTTTTCTCAAAAAAAAAAAAAGGCGAAATATCAAGAAAGAGTGACCAGAAAATAAAAAGAAAAGGTGTTAAAAAGGTAATTTTTCAATGTCAGAGCCCAAAGGCCTAGCGTCGTACTGTGGAGTCGTAGACCCATGATGCACCAGAAAGCAGACAACTCCCACTTGTCCACATCTCGTCTTCTGGCCCTTTTCCACTACTGCCCTTTAAAAGTCACCAAATCCGCATCGATTGTGGTGCGTGCCACAACTCAAAAGGCCCACTTTTAACCCACCCATTTCGCATATGGGCAGTTCCGTCATTTTCCAACAGACGTTGTACGGCCAAAGTTGAACGAGCTGTCGATCTCACATCTCTCGCACGATTTTAACGACACGTGTGCTGAATTCACAAGTGCGAAACACCGGCCGTCGATCTGTTGTACCGACAGTCAAGAGCCGTACGATCGCGACCCACATCTCATGGCATGAACAGAACGTAACAGCGCCGTTAGTGAACTGGAAACTGCCGTCAAGTCCAGTTGGCTGCATTCACGAGTCGCCATAGGCTGACGGCGTACAGTCACTAGCGGAAAGCCCGCCCTCATTTGGAATGGTATACGAGAGAGAAAGGGAGAGTGATTGAAAATGCAATGCGTGCGAGTCTTCTTTCTCACGCCCGTTTTGTGCCACTCTCCTTTGATTCTCTGCTGAAAATTCCTCATATTTCACTATGAAACGCATCGAATCTTATTCATCTTCACCCTTTTCTCCTTCCATTTATTCACCACTCTTCTCTCAATTCAACGCCTCTCTCCATCACCTCTTCACCTTAGCAGAAGCGGCAATGCATCGCTTTTCTTTCTCGTTGCTCTTTCTTGCTCTGTTTGTAATCATCTGTGAATGTGTAGATGATTCTGAAGTGCTTCTAAAGCTCAAACGTGGTTTGATATTGGAACCGCAAAAAATCTCCTTCTTAAAGGATTGGGAGACGGGAAAAGACCACTGTCTATGGAGTGGCGTTACCTGCAATGACGAGGCTCGGGTGGTGGCCCTCAACATTTGCTTCATCCCTCTCCATGGCCGCATCTTCGGCGACATTGGCCTACTCGACAAACTCGTCAATGTCACCCTTTCCAGCAGCAATCTCACTGGAAACCTCCCACCCCAAATTGGGCACCTCAGGTCTCTCCGTTTCCTTAATATCTCCAACAACGATTTATCTGGGGACATCCCGACGACCTTTTCAGGGTTGCAGGAACTCGAGGTTCTTGACGCCTACAATAACAATTTCTCAGGCCCTCTTCCTCACGAGGTCGCCTCGCTCAAAGGGCTTCGTCACCTCCAACTTGGTGGAAACTACTTCAGCGGCGAGATTCTCACCAGTTATGGAGGAGTTGAGAGTTTGGAGTACTTGGGCCTCAATGGAAACGCGCTTTCTGGTCACATACCAGGAGAGCTAAGCATGTTATCAAACCTTAGAGAGATGTATCTTGGCTACTATAATTCGTACAGCGGAGGTATTCCCTCCGAGTTTGGTCTTTTCGCCAAGCTTGTTCGCCTCGATCTGGCATCATGTAATTTATCCGGCCAGATTCCGGCGACTCTAGGACAATTAAAGTTTTTGGATACATTGTTTTTGCAGATGAATAGATTTTCCGGGGAGATTCCAGAGGAGCTTTCCGGCCTAAAGAGCGTGAAATCTTTGGATTTGTCAAATAACCAGCTTACTGGAGAGTTGCCGGAAGGCTTTTCAGAGCTTAGAGAGCTTACCCTGCTTAACCTCTTCAGAAACAATCTTCATGGTGCGGTCCCTCCATTTATAGCAGAGCTCCCAAACCTTGAGGTTTTGCAACTATGGGAGAACAATTTTACTGGCTCACTGCCTGAAAATCTCGGCCGAAATGGCAGGCTTCTGAAACTCGATCTCACGGCCAACAGATTGACGGGATTGATACCGTCAGCTCTCTGTTTCGGTGGTAGATTTCAGGTCTTGATTCTTCTCGACAACTACTTCTTTGGCCCAATACCAGAATCACTCGGCATATGTAAATCTCTGACTAGAGTTCGCCTGGCGAAGAATTTCTTGAATGGGTCGATTCCTGAAGGATTTCTGAACCTACCATTAGCCGATATGATTGAGCTCACCGACAATTACCTTTCTGGCAAACTTCCGTCGAGGATTTCAGCCTCTGTTGTGCTTGGAGAGCTTATACTCTCCAACAATCTCTTTACAGGGAGCATTCCATCTTCCATTTCAAACCTTACTGGACTGCAGACTCTCTCTCTGGAAGGCAACCAGTTTTCGGGAGAGATCCCACAAGGAATTGGGGAGCTCCAGCAGCTATCAAAGCTCAACCTCAGCAACAACAAGTTTTCCGGGAAGATTCCGGCCGCTCTTGGTCGATGCTTCTCTTTGTACTCTGTTGATATAAGCAACAACCAACTAGCCGGAACAATCCCTGATGAGCTCGCCGACCTCCACATACTCAATGTTCTCAATCTGTCCGGAAATCATCTCTCAGGTGAGATTCCTGCAAAGATGAAGTGGATGCAGAGCCTCACGTCGCTTGACCTCTCATATAACCAGCTCTCCGGCATCGTCCCCACAGGTGGGCAATTCGCGGCATTCAACATGAGCTCGTTTATGGGAAACCCTGATCTCTGCGGTAGCCCGCTGCGATACCCCTGTTCCCGGAAACATGTCCCGAGCGAGAATGGTGGGGAACACGGCGCAAAAACCAGCTTGAAAATGCTGGTTTCTCTCATCGTGTTACTGGCCTTGGGTGTATTTGCAGCTGTTTTTGTACGCATGATGAAGGCAAGGGAGGCGAAGAGGAAAAGCGAAAAGGCATGGAAGCTCACTGCGTTTCAGAGGCTCGATTTCAGTTACATGGACGTGCTTCAATGCTTAAAAGAAGAGAACATGATAGGGAGTGGAGGAGCCGGGGTCGTGTACAGAGGCGTGATGCCGAGCGGCCAAGAGGTGGCCATCAAAAGGCTGAGAACCACAGTGGAGAAATCGGACGACGACCGTGGGTTCTCGGCGGAAATCCAGACGCTGGGGAGGATAAGGCACAGGCATATCGTGCGGCTGCTGGGGTTCTGCTCAAATAAGGAGACGAATTTGCTGGTGTACGAGTACATGAGGAATGGGAGCTTGGGTGAGGTGTTGCATGGGAGGAAAGGTGGGCAGGTTTTGGGGTGGGAGACGAGGTGCAGGATTGCGGTGGAGGCCGCCACGGGCTTGTGTTATTTGCACCACGATTGCTGCCCCATGATTATTCATAGGGATGTTAAGTCTAATAACATATTGCTTGATTCCACCTTGGAGGCTCATGTCGCTGACTTTGGCCTCGCCAAGTTCATGCAGGATGCAGCCGCCTCCCAGAGCATGTCCACCGTAGCCGGATCCTATGGCTACATCGCTCCAGGTCCTCTCTCTCTCTTTCTTTCTCATTTTTTTTTTTAAGTATTACTTCATTTGTTTTCGGCCTGCCCTGCCCTGCCCTGCCCTGCCCGGCCCGGCTCTATTTGGAATACATGACGAGCCGGGCGCAGTCCGTCCTATTGTGACCTATTGTTTTGGTTGTATGGGTCTCTTTTTGATGGGTGGTCTCTGTTTCTTGCTCTCTCTACTGTCAGAATCATGGCTTGATTTTTGTTAGGAAAAATGTGCATGTGCTCAACGGCATTTCTTTCCGAAAGTGTAAAGCATCCCTCTTTAAGATGGATGCAAGTAGGTATTTCATCTATAGAAAGTAGCGTTCTAACAGTATAGTTTTCTTACCAGAAATGTTTACCCACGTTAGATATTGGATGTCTTTAAAAATTAAGTCCTAAAATCTATCTCAAAAAATAGATTTATTAAGAGGATTGCATTTCTACATGTACACCTGCGGGCGGGCTTGGCCGCAGGGTCCTTTCGTTAAGGGTGCCATTTGTAAAGAGCCGAGGCAGGCTCTAAACAATCGAAGTAGAGCACACCTTCTTATAGCGTTGAAGAATATAGTTTCAATACTAAAAATCTTTATGATATTTTTAAAATATGTTTTATATTTAATTATAAAATTTAAAGCTTCAAAAATACAATCTAGATTGAGCATATCTATGAAAATATTAAAAATTGCCTATCCAAAATGTAAATGTGTTGTGAGGCATTATTTTCAAAACTTGAAATCTATTTTATTCCATGTCTATACATTTTGATGTCGAGATGATCGATTTGAGGATCACAACTTCTTTAAGTGAAATTTTTGAACTGGGCTCTAATTTGATTGTTTAGAGCCTCGGTTCTATAAACTTACCCCTTGTATAGAACCGATGTTCTAAACAATCACATTAAAACAAAGTAAAACGCACATTTAAATAATATGGAGAAATGTGGTTTCAATACTAGAAAGCTTTGTGATAATTTTAGAATATATTTTCGTCTTTAATTATAAAAATTTAAAGCTTCAAAAATAGCATGGATTGAGCGTATCTATGAAAACTTAAAAATTTTTGAAAGTTGACCATCCAAAAATTTGTTACAAGATAGCAATATTTTTCAAAAGTTGAAATTTATTTATTTTTCTCTTGTACATGCATCTTTATGTCAAGATAATGAATTTGAGGATATTTGGGCATCAAAATATACATGAAATTTTTGAGGTGTTTGTTTAGAGCCTTGGCTATATATAATTGGTTTCGTTAATGGTGGAATAATGTAGAACCCAAGTTTTGCAAATTTCTTGGAAGATTCTCTTGTGGTCTTTTAGGCTTGGGCCCAAGTTCTTTAGTGGGTGATTTCTTTAAGCCTAGTGCACTGGATTCCCTCTGTTTTCTTTTTTGATGGTGCAAAAGACCATAGAAAAGAGAGTTTATCAAGTGCTGAATTATTGAGGTGAGCGAGAAAGATAGGTTGCAGCTAGGGTGATGAATGAGAGAGAGTAACAGTAGAAATGTTGGGTGCGTGCAGAGTATGCATATACGCTGAAGGTGGACGAGAAGACGGATGTCTACAGCTTCGGGGTGGTGCTGCTCGAGCTGATCACCGGGCGCAAGCCGGTGGGGGAGTTCGGGGAAGGGGTGGACCTGGCACGGTGGGTGCGCAAGATGGCTGAGTGCTCGCCGGACATGGTTTCGGTGGTGAGTCAGGTGGTCGATACTCGCCTCACCGCTTACCCCCTGCACTCGGTCACCCACCTGTTCAGGGTGGCGATGCTGTGCGTGGAGGAGCAGAGCGTGCAGAGGCCCACTATGCGGGAGGTGGTGCACATGCTCACCAACCCTCCCGCTGCTCCTGACCTCCTATCTCTCTAATTGAACAACAATACACAAGCTTGTACATATTATCTATCTGTTTGTTTGTGACCTCTCTTACTCTCTTAATCGTACCTGCAAGTTTCGAAACTCTTTCCACATCATGAGGGCCGGACTCTAATTTTTGTCTTGTTTTTTCTTTTTTTTGTCATCATTTATGTTTGGCCTGGGCACGTGCCCGATGCCCGCCCTCGTGTCAGTTTGCAGACTCGACCCGACGTGAAGTCGGTCTAAATGTTTTTTAATATAAATATTACTTTTAAGTTTTTTTTAAAAAATTATATTTATGATTTCCATGTTGGAGATTATATATTTTTAAAAATTAAGATAAATTTTAATTAAAAAATATATTTATTGCCAAGGCTACATTTTTACCGTAGGGCTCGTGGCATAGAAACGGTGTCCCTTTCCATTTGTTTCTCGATTTCACTGTTATATATATATATAATTCTGTTGTTATTTTTAAATTGGGTGCAGTTTGTATAAAATTGTGGCTTTAAACAATTAAATTAGAGCCTACCTTTAAATAGTGTTTGGAAATATGATTTCAATACTATAAAGTTTTGTGATAGTTTGAAATTATATTTTTATTATTAGTTTAAAAAATAGTGTAAGATCAAGCATATGAAAAATTGACGGGTTTAAAAATGCATTAGAAGATGAATTACTTCTAAAACTTCTCATGCCCATACTTTTTTGATGTCGAGAATATCAATTTGATAATACTTGACCATCGAAACAACTTTTTCAATGACAGTTTTGAGGTAGGTTTTAATTTGATTGTTTAGAGATTAAGCCCTGTATAAATTTTTCCCTCTCAAATTTTGGTGACCGTACAATGTGAAGCTTTTTAGGTTGTATGAGAGGGCGAGAGGCCTTACAGAGGAGGGGCAAATTTGTGATTTGAGAGTGAAGTTTGGGAGAATTTGTTGGGGATGGGACTGCACGGACGTCTCTGTGTGTTTCTCTTGGGAAGGATTGGACGGCTTGCCTCTTTTTGGGAAGCGACACAGGAATAATAAAACATTGGAATGAAAAATTGAAGAAAAGGTTATGCTGAAAAGACGTCCCCACCTTGCCGAAATCATCATCACCACAGCAGCAAATGTATAGAAAATTGACAAAACTTCGCCGCTCTTTAGCCGCCTCAACTCAGAAATTTCGAATCTATATCACCGCCTACATTGAATAATCTACTTTATTTTTTTCATTTTGTGGATGAGGTTTCTATATAGCAAAATACGCATCACTTCAAATCCTCCGGGAAAGCACTTTCGGCGATTGAAATCTTCATGATACTTCAAAATCAATTTTCAACATGAATTATAAAATTTGAAATTAAAACGATAAGTACAAATGTTGAGGATATATGAACATTTAATTTGGAGATGAAATGCACAGTCTAGATGTTCTTTTGTAAGAAAAATATATAATAGAATTATTTATTTTTTTTATAATTAATCTTGATCATTGGATGTGAAATTAGATGGTTGCGTTTATTTCATAGATCAAACTCAAAGTTCAAAAGAATATTTTTTGAATTTTATGACACATCCAAGCTATCAGATTTTACATTGGATAATTGTAAATAATTGCGATTTCCCTATTCCAAAGGTAATGGTCTTGTAGTATATAATATTTTTTTTGTAACATACACTGTTTTTAGAGCGTTAAATCTTAATATTTTTTCATAAACAAGATGTTCAAGCCAAAATGATCCATGTCAAGGTTTTTAGTACTTAAATTGCAATTTTCATTGAGTTATGAGGTGAGGCTTTGCTGAAATTTTTTATTTTATTTTTTTGATAGAAATTCCACAACTTTATTGAACTAAAATGTAATTACAAAGTCCGAAATAGAAACAAAAGGAAGGGAGGAACCTCATTTGGCAAGAAAGTCTGTCAACATTAGCCTCCTTGTAAACATGAACAAAAAAAATAGAGAGAGGAGAGATCCAAAATCTGCAGCAATAAAGCCTTGAAGTCCCATGGAAGCAGTTGTTCTTTTTTGCACCACAAAATCACATTAAGAGAATCACCCTCAATGATGAATTCAATCTTTAGCTTCCTCTCCATAATAATTCGCAACCCACAAAGGAGGGTGTATAGCTCAGCATAATTAGTATTCCTAACCCCAAGTGGCCTCGTATACGAAAAAATCACATTGCCTAGCCAGTCTCGTAGCACCCTCCAAATCCTGCTTGTCCCGGGGTTGCCTTTTGAACTACTATCGAAGTTAAGTTTGGACACCCTAGCTGACGGAGCTATCCATCTGCCTATAACCCGACATTTATAAGTATTGAAATGGAAGATAGTATTCAAATTTCTCTTGACATCCACTTCAGTGATGTCCTTACCACATAGAGTAACAGAAAGATAGAGCCATACATCATGTAGAATTACGTTCAGCACTTTTCCAAAAAGCATACAAACACCCTAAGAAACTCTCCTATTTATCTCTTTCCAAATTTCCCAAAGGATAACGCCTCTTGAAATTTGCTACACCACACCCAATTTTTGGGAGAGCAACTGTAAGATCCCTATCACCGACGCTGGCATGACTAAAGCCACTCTTAGCTTCTCAACAAACCACGTCCAAATATGTAAAGCAAAGGGACAATGAAGGAAAAGATGGTCTCCAGATTCCCCCATCCTCCTTACACATCAAACAGCTATTAGTTAAAATTTCCCCTCTCTTTATGAGGTTGTCTATAGTAAGCACTCTATCTTGGGTCGCCAATCACTAAAAACCGTGCACTTTTAGAGGTAAAGGCCACTTCCACAAGCAAGCAAGTATCGGCATAGACCATTTAACTTTATCATTGAACAACAAGTGATGCATGGATTTGACCGAGTAAATCTCATTTTTATCAATTTCCCAAACTACCTCATTAATAGCATCGATATCTTGAGGAATGTACACCTCTTTCAAAAGCGCAAGTAGATCTGAGTACTGAGAGAGCAATAAATCCGAAATCCTATTATAAGAGAAATTGATTAATACTTTATAAGAAAGTATAAAATGAGACCATTTACCTTTGGTATAAGGTGGTCAAATTAATCTTGACCATTGGATATGAAATTGGGTGATTGTATTTATTCTATTAACCAAGCTTAAACTTCAAAAGAAATTTTTTTGAACTTTGTAACACATCCAAGCTATCAAATTTCACATCAAATGGTTGTAAGTAATTGTGACTATCTTGTATAAAAGGTAAATGGTCTTATTGTATACAAACAATCCCATATTTTATTGGTGATCAATGTTTTGTTTTTTGGTTAATAAGTGGGGATATGAGGCCCTTACCCATTCATTAATAGACTAAGAATATGTTACATGATCAATTCTTATACAACTCTTGGCAAGAGACACTAGCAACATCAGATAAAATGAAACGTGCTACAAAAAATTGGTGATCAATATTAATACAAGGAAATATGCGACAAAGAGTAAAATCCTCTGAAACATTTCAGGAAGAAATCATCACACTTTTCTAATCCTCGGCCACTTTATTGGCTTCTTTATATACATGTGAGAAAGGAACTTCGAGGGACTAACATATATCCATAATATGCCTCGAAGTATGCATCAAACTCTAATGCACAGTTTTCCTTGAGCCTTGTGCATTGCTGTAGAGAGTGTAATGCTGAGGTTGATGTTCTTGCTAAAGGGGAGTACACCAACGTTTTTTGGTGATTTCATCTTTCCTATAATTTTCTTTTGATGTAATGAAATTTGTGGTGAATTTTCAAAAAAATAAATAAATATCTAATGCACAGTTTGTTCCTTCTTGCACCATTTTATAACACTAAGGGTGCGCTTGTTTTTCTAAAAGACATTTTATGGAAAGTTGAATGTTTTTAAATGTTCTGAAAAGTTGAATGTTTTGTTCTGGAAGGTTTAAATAAGTTCTGGGTACTGTTTTTGATACCATATACATATTAACTATATAGATATAAATATACATAACATAGTATAATATATTTTATTAAAGTATATGAAAGAAAGACCTATGTGATCTTTTACCGGGGAATACATTTTTTTTTTCTTCTCCCATTTCTTTTGGCAAAAGATCACTTATAGGTGGTCTTTATTATAATAAGATAAATTTCAAAATAAAATCAACATAACAATGAAACCAAGATCTTAACAACTTGATGTCATTGAAACAACTATGCACTATGCTTGAGAATAAAAGATAAGATTACAAAAAACAAAAGGAAGAGTGCCGGAGATTACCTCAACCGGGCTTATTAGACCCTATACCGAGTTACCACCATCCGATGGCCCGGGATCAACGGTCTAGCTTCAATCTCGAACTGGGAAAACAAATTTCGGCCAAGCCACACCAATGGAACATGAATCCTTTTTATCACAAACTCAAACCCTAGGTGAATTCTTTTAGTAACCTAATTTAAGAGAGATGAATTCTCTTTTTTCTAAACCCTAAAACCCTTAATCATAAATCCATACTTAAACTCTTAGGTTCTTTCACAATGAGGGAGAGAGAGATCAAACATGAGAGAGATAAACTTTCTTAAGAGAGAGAGATAGAAAGATAAGGTGTAGAGATTTTTTGGTAGAGACAATCCCTTCTTATAGACTTTGAATAAGATTAAGGTTTCTTAATGTTTTCTTTGGCTTGCCTCTTCTTGTAAGAATGAACATAGACCGTCGATCAATATTGACTTGTGGGTTGAGAGATCTGAGCCATCCATTCCATAGATGGGCCACCAACATTATGGAAGGTGCATGAGCCATTATCTCCATTTCCTAAACCATTTTATCATTAATAGAAATTAAATAAATTAAATCTAATCAAAATATTGTGTATACCATAAAATAACACAAGTCTACTCAATCTTTCCACAAAATCTTTCAAAGATATATCAAGTCAATATTTAGTCAATATCTTCCAACCATATGACCATATACCATATCAACAAAAAATAGGAAAGAGAATAAGGGTGGGGCGTGCCACCCAAGGGAGGCATTCGTGGGCCTGACCTTCTAAAAATATGGCTGGGCCATGTGCACAATGGGCCCCCATGAATTTTTTATATATTTAAAATTAATAAAATGATTTTAGA